TGGGTCGAACATTGCGAGCGGTAACAGCCACCTGTGAACAAATTGAGAAGGAGTCTGCCAAAGTGGAACTGACATTAAATGGCGATGAGAACAAGCTGATGGTATTAACGCGCCAGACGTCCTGTAGACCCGGACTAAATGTGGATCTTGAAAACTACAGCTTTGATTCAGATGACACAGCTCTTGGAGTGTTTGAGAGGCGGTGAATATCGCCATCTATACACGGACATCAACATAGTCTGTGAGTACGTTGGCTGGTCATGTTGTGCGAAAGGATGAGGATGCCCCTGCTCAAGAGGCATATAAAAGCGAGCAAAGTGATGGTTCACGCATAAGGGGAAGACCACGTTTATAACATGTCAAAACATGGTCTGTAAATCTTTTTTAAGATCGACTTATGGAAAAAATGTTCTGTCTCGAGTCAGCTAAGTGTTTTTACAAATAGTGAGTATGATAACTAAAACCAGTAACCACTTTGGGTACATACAAGATATGATAATGTGTACAATATCGTGTAGATAGAAGAGACATAGCATCTCTGAAAGACCATTGAAATTGAATCGGGCGAAACAATCTGTGATCTACATATATATTTAAGCAATAAAAAACTATACACATACGATTCTAAAATCTATAAAAAATTGCATGTCTATGAGGCAGACTTGAGCTATATGTAAATCTGAACCTATTTGGGAGTTTGGTGCACCATTTATATAAAATCGGACGAAACAATATATGGGTGCTATATCTAAATCTGAACCGATTTCAACAAAACACCCCAGGCATCAAACTGAACTTAATTCAGTAAGCTGTGCAAAATTGTGTCTCAATTTGACAAATATTGGGAGTTTGGTGCAATATTTACCTAAAATCTGGTGAAATATATATGGGAGCTATATCTAAATCTGAACCGATTACAACATAAAATCGCAGACATCAAACTATACTTAATTCATTACGCTGTGCAAAATTTTGTCTCAATCGGACAAACCTTGGCAGTTTGGTGCACCATTTTCATAAAATCGGGCGAAATTATATATTGGCTTTCGTATGAATTTGAATTATTGACTCCACGCAAAAAAAAGTGCCATATAGATACCATATGAATATCCGGCCGATTTTTTCATGACGGAGTGTATAAAAATTTGGACTAAAGTCGAACAACTTCAAATATATTTGTTTTAAGACTTATAAAGTCTTTACTTTCAAATTATGTGCATAGAAATTCAATGGGTTGATTAAAATCGGTACCAAAATCGGTTTTATTTCCTAAACCAGTGAGCGGAGTATTATAGTCGGACGGGGCCGACCATACGATACCCTACACAACTTCCATGAAAATCTAACTTTCTGTGGTTCTATATTCTGAGATTGGGCAATATTTCGCGATATTTGCACACTTTTGATTGGCTAGAGGTCAGCAAATGCTACTAATAATCAGTACAGCACCTCTAATTACTTGTCCAGATTCCCTTCGCCGTGGGTTGCATTGTGATGTTCGGCTTTCGACTCGAAAAGTACAAATAATTAAGTTTTCGGTCCACTTCATCCGAAAAATATTATCTGATAATCACTTAACATTTTAGGCGTTGTCCTTGACCATAACTGCAACCTCATGGAATATTTCAAAGCGATCAGCGCTATATTTCCGCCCTCCAGTGTGGTAATAGGTTACTAAATAATATATGAATATGTAAGCACCTGTAAATATTTAAGTGTAACTCCCGCATCCGAGTACCTACGACAATATAATTGGTATCAATTTAAAAGTCAACCACTCCTCTTGGATATACTATGAACTTCTCGGGTCTATGTCTTTCAGTGGAAAATATATACGCTATAGAATACAAATTTTGTCATTTTTCACTCAAAAGTTAGGGTCCATTTGACCCGCTAAATATTGACCGATCTTTATCAAAACAGGCATGCTTATTCTTTCCCTTTCTCCATGCAAAAATTCGCGGTGTTTGGGCCATAATTGCGGCCTCTGGAGCGACTAAAAAAACCGACAAAAATAAAGTTTTTGGTCCATTTCATCTCCTAAATATTAACCGATCTTTTCCAAAAACAATAGGGGTCTTCATTGGCCAGAACACATCCTACATGCAAAATTTTGTGAAGATTGGTCCATAACTGTGGCCTGTATCGTGTTTACAAATTAAAATGGACAGGCGGACAGACGGACGGACGCACACACATGTCTAGATCGACTCAGCTAGTCGAGATATGACGATCGGTATACTTAAAGGTGGGTCTAGGACCAATATTTCGCGACGTTACAAACTTTTGGGGCTGAACAAAGCTATAATACCCTGACAACATAGTTGTGTAGGGTATATAAAGCCGGTTTATTTAACACTTGGGATTCCGTATCTGCCACCTTTAAATAAATGTAATTATCGTGTTTGGCATAAATAGATTTATTTATGTTATGGTTCTTCATAATTTACAATTTATACGAAATTTATTAGTGTATATAAATTTAAAGTTTTCTCAACAAGGATTCGGTAAAAGTGGAAAAGCATGATGAAAACATAGGATTTCTTGACTATGACGACGCCCTCTGAAATCATATTAGCGAAATTTTTGCAAAATATTTGGAGGAAAAAAATATCGTCCCCTCTAAGCACGAAAAAGCCATATAAGGATGATGAAATAATGATATGTTGTACAAATAAATTCACATTCGATTTAAATAACATTTCAAAAATAAACTGCAATAGCAAAGACAAAGAAAAAACTTTTTATTTATGAATTAGGGGGTCATCAGCAAATAAAATAAAAAAAACAAACAAAACAAAAATTTACGCCATAACTGAAAAACTTGACCTATGACGAGTTTGACCTTCTGTTTTCTTAAAGTACTCACTAAGGGTTTTTATCCCAAAAGGAGTTTTCCACCTCACAGACCATTAGCTCAATTTTGTAGCATACTGTAATAAATAATAAAAATCTGATAACTGTTTTTAATTTCAAATATTCCATAAAACAAGCCATATTAAATTGATTACTGAATACTTAAAATAATTTGTTAAACCTTTACTTAAAAGCCTCGTATTAATCTATAGGCAAAAACAAACACCAAAAAACCCCCCAACATATTCAAAGAAACAAATAAGAAAACTGACACCTATTTGGTGAGGAAACATTATGTGAAGTAAATAAACATAAGCTAACAAATTATGTCCATGTATGTGTTGCGATATATATGTGAGCTAAATAAAAGAAAATTTACAACAACAAATAAAATCCAAGAACAGCCTGTTACAGCACCTCAACACCTTTAGACATAACCACATTTTAACATACTGAGACAAACGCTCACTTAAACACACACAACCCCTCCACCCACCCACCACCACCTACCTACACAATTACAAATGTCTTCATATATGTTTTTTTCTTGTGTATGTGTGTGTGTGTGTTTGAAGAGTAGTGTGGAGTGGCATTAGTTTGTCATACCATTTGTCAAAAAAATTAACCAAAATACACTCCTCCTTCACAGGGTTAGTGCGCATGACGACATTTTTTCTATGTGGTTTTTCCACCATTTCATGGCAAAAACATGAGTTTACATTTTGTCCTAGTCCTGGTCCTTCGTCGGCATGGATGAGTGTGTGTGTGTTTGTGTGCATGGCACATTGTCCTATTGCAATAAAGCATGAAGGATAGTGGCAAGAAAACAACAAAAATTGGATTCCACCATGTGCCAGTGTGTCCCACACACACATACATGTACACGTTGGGCACATGGTGGAATGTAAGTTGGATGGTTGATAACTGTTCTCTTGCTCTCTATACGAATTACGAGATATGCTGTGTGGTTGGTTTATGTTATGAAAATGAGAAACGAGAACTCCCGAATCATTATCCTGAACTTCGTATATCGTAATCAGTGTTGAAAGAAGTTCGTGATGCTGTTTCTATGTTGTTCGTTCGCATGATGATGCCTTTTGCCATGGTTGGCTGCCAGCATCAGTTTCAGTTTGAAAACGTCGTTGCTCATATTTGGACGCTTCGTTGCCTCTTGATGAGACTTGAAGGGATTGATTATTGTTGTTGCCATCGTCGGCTAGTTGTGAATACCAATAGTGACAGCAGTGCTGGACATAAGTCTTAAATAAATATCCAGTTGTAATGCATCTGTGTCTGTGTGTCAGTCAGTCAGCCAGGAAGGTTTTAATTCAATCATCGCATCATCGTTATTTCAATTATCAACTGTGAAAGGCTACAAGCGGTGGTATTACTGTCGTAGTAACTGGCCAAATATTGTGTCTGCCTGTGTGTGTGTACATGGTGGATGCATTGGCTTTCGTGTATATCTGTGTGTGTGTTTTCATATGTGCAGCCTATGCATATGTAAGCCAGCATTAACAGTTACTGACTGCACTGAATGTGTTACAAATAGTAAAACAAAGAAATATCTGTGAAATAAAACATAAATTTTTCCGGGCACTTGCATTACAGTTTCAATTGCAGCAATTCTGGATAATACACAAAAATACACTGAAATTCTACATTAAATCCTGCCGACTCGTAATTGTTTAATGCTAAAGGCAACAACGGGTTTTTAATACGACAAAAATAAAATAAAAACAAAAAGAATTATAATCACTGCATTTAAATATTATTATCATTGTGTTGTGTGCATATGAATGCCAGCCAGCCAACAAACAAAACAAAAAAAAGAATAAAAATAATTTTTAATAAATAAAAATACAAAAAAATATTGCATTTCCCGTTTGTTTTTTTAATGAAATCATCATTTTAAGTGATAGTTGTGATTCATTCATAACATACACAAAAAAATCAGTTGTTTCAGTGTAAATGCAATTCAGTGAAAGTGTTAAGATGATAAATTAAAAAACAACAACAACAAAAAACTACATTTATAAATTTCACATCACAAAAGCAATACAGCTACAACAAAAGAATCAAGTGTATTATTATTCGACAGAATTTTGTTTATGAAAAATTATGATAAGATGATGTCGACAAAAATGATTTTGTTTGTGATTTTAAATATTTTAAAAGGTAATTAAACCATTGATTTAAGTGGTGGTTTGGAATTAATATGTTTAAGTAAAATTTTATAAAGAAAATTCTTAAATGCATATTTTTTGTTTGCAAGGTTGGAGACACCATGCGATTTATACATGAAGTAATATATTTATACCCTACACAACTATGTTGTCAGGGTATTATAGCTTTGTGCAACCCAGAGAGTTTGTAAAGCCGCGAAATATTGGTCCCGACTCACCTTTAAGTATACCGATTGTCATATCTCGACTAGCTGAGTCGATCTAGACATGTGTGTCCGTCCGTCCGTCTGTCCATTATAATTTGTAAACACGATACAGGCCACAGTTATGGACCAATCTTCACGAAATTTTCATTGTAGGATAGGTTCTGGCCAATGGTAAAGATCGGTTAATATTTAGGGGATGAAATGGACCAAATACTGAATTTTTGTCGGTTTTTCTGGTCGCTCCAGAGGCCGCAATTATTGCCCAAACATCTCGAATTTTTTACATGGAGAAGGGGATTGGGTCAAAGAATAAGCATTCCTGTTTTGATAAAGATCGGTCAATATTTAGAGGGTCAAATGGACCCTGACTTTTGTGTGAAAAATGAAAAAAATGTATTGTATGGCATATATATTTACTCCTGAAGGACATAGACCCGAGAAGTTGATAGCATATCCAAGAGGAGTGGTTGGCCTTTAAATTGATACCAATTATATTGTCGTATGTACTCGGTTGTGGGAGTTACACTTAAATATTTACACGTATTACGTATTAAAATATTATTTAGTAACACATTACCACACTAGAAGGCGAAAATGCAGCGCTTAGTGCATTGAAATTTTCCATGAGGATCCAGGTATGGTCAAGGACACGTCTATAATTTTCGGTGATGATCAGATAATAATTTTGGGATGAAGGAGTGGATCGAAAACTTAATTATTTGTGTTTTTCGAGTCGATCTACAGGCTACAAATGAAAGCCCAACTTCACAACATAACCCACGTTAAATGGAATCTGTACAAGGACAGCCTTCGTCTACTGAATATTAGAAATATTTGTTGGCATCTAGTCAGTCAATAGGGTGCAAATATTGCGTAATATTGCCCAAGCATAGAATATATAAAAACAGAAAGTTTCGTAGAAGTTGTGTAGGGTATCATATGGTCGGCCCCGCCCGACTATACTGCTCCGCTCACTGGTTATATTTTGCCATTTTTTTAAAGAGAAACATCCAAAGTGGAGTTCAATAGAATCGCATTCAAGCCTTCTAAATAACTGATACTAAATATAACCATTTTTTAAGGGCAATATAAAGAATACGAAATTCCATAAAATTTGCGGGTGTTATATAATAAGGCTATGAAAAATATTAAAAAAAATAATAAGCTGTTGTAATAAAACTTTTTATTTAGAACATGTTCTTAAATTAAATAATGTCGAAATAGGTTCGTGAGGAGTGAAATTGAAAAAATGAACTTTGTCACAAATTTATTAATTTTCCTAAAATCGGTTTAAAAATATAGTTCAAAAATAGCCCCGATAAGGATGAAGGTTCAGCTTAACAGATGAATATAAATTATATTGAGTTTTCAATACGAAAAAATTCAAAAAATTGTATTAAATATTTCGTGCTCCATAGGGATGCAAAAAAGTCAAATTTTAATTGGAGCCAATAAAAGGTTATCTATTTCAAATCTGGAGACTCTGAGCTTTACACCAGTAAACATTGTGGGTCACGGTTTATAAATGGCATGAGGTCAAATTCAAAATTTCTCAGCCTGGGCAATGTTTCGTAATAATTGCGTCATCCTGACCCATTATAGGTCAACAGATCCACTTTCTAACCCTAGCGTATTTTCTAAATCATGTTTTCCCGTGGTGAATATTTACGCCATTAAATACAAGTTTTGTCACTTTAGGTTTTAGTTGATTTGACCCTCGGAATATTGACCGATCATCATCTAAACAGCCGTTCTAAGTAATTGATCAGATGCCCTTCACAATTTCTCACACAAAAGTCTGAGTCCATTTGACTCGCTAAATATTGACCGATCTTCATAAAAACAGCCATGCTTATTCTATGGTCAGACCCCTTTTTTGTGTAAAAATTCGTGATGTTCGAGTCATAATTGTGGCCTCTAGAGAAAACGGACAAAAAATTAAGTTATTGACCCATTTCATCCCCTAAATATCAAAAACAAAAACAGTCTTCATTGGCCAGAACCGGTCGAACATGCATAATTTCGTGAAGATTTGTCCATAACTGTGGCCTGCAGCGTGTTTACAAATTAAAATGGATAGATGGATGGACACACATGTCTAGATCGACTCAGCTAGTCGAGATATGACGATTGGTAAACTAAAAGCTGGGTCAATGTGCAATATTTCGCGGCGTTATAAACTCATGGAGCCACACAAAACTATAATTCCCTGACAACATAGTGGTTTAGGGTATACAAATGTTATATATTCGAACATCAATTATAGCGAACACATTTCATGGTACCGAAGTTCAAAGACAGATTTTTTCATACAAATCTTTACTCTTGTATCAATATACGGATATAGCGAACATTTTTATAACGAGCATTTATTCGGTCCCAAAATTCAGTTATAATAAACTTCTTACAAATACACATAATACTCAAAGATGACAATCCGCACAAAAGTTATTTATACCATAACGCTGAAAGCCTTTACCAAAATGTCAGATTCAATCGAAATAGAGAAGCAGCTTCAGTATTGTCAAAAGGGACACCAAAAATTCCCATTTCGGAAGTGAACATGTTTATTTATTTATTTTTTTTTTTTTTTGCTGCAAAACCTAGGATATTCTTGGATATAACGAACTTATTTTCATGGTCCCTACTAGTTCACTATAACCGTACTTTACCTTATAACATTGACATGCGTCAAAATATTAACATCAAATGACGGTCAATTAAACATGTGGAACTGATGATTACAATGAAGGTGAATATTATCAGTACATTAAAGATGATAATAAAAAATTTCGCACATAAGACTCATAAGATAATGTAAAAGTAGTCGTTAGCTGTAATTTGGAATTTTATATTATTGTATCTATATCACATGTTCTTGCCAAATTGATCAATTTTGCGCCACAATTTGAGGTTGCCCCATATATCGATATCCCCTAATGTATGTTTTTTGAAGAATTTGTACGCGATCTTTCAGCCAAATTGGCTGCAATCTTCGTACCGAAAAAAATCAGTAGTTGCATAGTCTTCGGAGCAGGCCCACGACCCAGAGTGGCGTCTCACTTCCTATGGGGGTTACATCGAAAAATTTCGGCAAACATATTTTTAAATCACATCTTAAAGTATGGAAGTAGGACGGAAATTTGATTTTAAGTATATGTCCAAATATAGAAAATAGAAAATTGTCCTCATAAATATTTTCAACACTAACAAAGCCCAGAGAATACGGCTAAACAATTCAAAATTTAAAATACACTCACTCCACCTTATGTGTATATTGAATTTTTAGGAAGTGCAGATCACATTATTAACCATAAGCGAAGTTCCTTCTATTAACTTTTTAGCACTTTTATTTGGCACTTTTTTGTTAACACTTTCTAGCATTTTTTATCGATTGTGCCACAGCGTAAATTTAAAAATATTTATCAGCAAATTATAATATGTTTCAACTATACCTATATTTGGTTTGATTTTTTGACTTGGTGCAATTTCTGGGCTTGTATTTACTCACTTGGTCTTATAATTAATATTTTTCTAAACATATAACCATTTTATTAAACCGCATAATTTTTATATTTGTTTGTATTTGATAGTAAATATGTATCTCTGTTAACAATATTACCATTGTATTATTTGACAATTATGTTGGTTATTAACTGTTCTCGATAATCTACCGAACTGTGTAAACATTTCCCGTGGTCATAATAACCAACAGCTTTTGTTTAGCATAAAAACCACAATTATTTAATGATGACGGCAATGACGTTGACTTTACTATCACAAGCAAATAGAATGCACTTCAATTTCCCTCCACTTTTTTCTCACACCTCAGAATATTTTAATTTTATCAATTCAATTTTCCCCCATTTTTTCTCACACCTTCAAATATTTTAATTTTATTTATTCTCAACAATATTGGTATTTTATTGGCTTATTGACATCGCTTAAATGTTAATTATAAAGTTAAATTTGTATTTACATACATAGCATATATTGCTACATAGCTAATTTTAATATATATTTTATTGAGTTCATGGGGGTTTAAATATTTGTTCGTAGTTCATTAATGAGTCAATAACTCGTTGTATAGTTTTGTTTAAATCACGAGGGCAAATCAACAATGCCATGATTTCCCGAATTTAATGCAATGCAGCATTGTTGCCATTAAATATCATTTTCTAATAATCTGTTTTTTTTTTTTTTGAGTAGTTACGTCACGGACACTCAGTTGAGGTGTCATAGAATAATCCCAATTTGCTGGTCCTAGTTGCATTTTTCAATTGACAAAAAAGGATGTAATTTGGCATTGCGAGTTCTTGCTGGTTGGGTTGATTTCGTTATTATTATTGCATAGAAATTTTAATATTGAATCATGTTTCCACATAGCCTCTATAAAAAGGACCCATCTTCGCAAATTTCATTATTTAATGGTTTTAGCAGCAACTGAGGGGACTGGAATTCGATATTCCGAGTTCTTGGATGGAGAAAAACATTTTTGCAGACTATGTCCTATACGAAGGTCTCTGTCTAGTTTTCGGTATTTGAAAGTCTTTAGCCACATTTTGAAACCGAACGGGGTTTGTTGCCGTTCCGTGCTCATGGAAAGTGAAAAGCATATTTATAAAATATGTGTTTGCAATATGCCATTCAGGACTATTTTTGGACACAGCTCCCAATTTTACTTATTTTGATCGAAGTAGCTGTACGTTGAAGTTGTGAGTTCTTGGTAGATAAAAAACGTATTTGCAGAAAATGTTCGATTGTAGGTATTTTGTCAGCAAATTTA